TGTCGCCGTTCTACGTTCTCGTGCACGTCGACGACTTGTTTTTTGCTATTGCTGACACTGAGGCTCAGGCCTTAGTAAAGGCGGAGCTGCAGGAGAGACACACTTGCACTAACTTGGGTGAGCTGCGGAGCTATCTTGGCTTGCAGATCACCCGGGACGGAGCACGGCGCACCATCACCCTGACTCAGTCACACATGGTGCACCAGGTCCTTCAGCGCTTCGGCTTCCAGCAGATTTTTGTTTTTTTATTTTCTTGGAACTTGTAAAATTCCTTGTAATCTTTATTATAATCTGTGAAGACTGCAAGGCCCTCAAGATCTCAAGTTGAGAGCTCAATACTCCAAGATCTACAAGCTTCTCACGGCTTTCAAGGTTTTTTTACGGGAGACCATGTTCCGCCTTGCAGCACGAGAGGACCCTCCTGCCCACTCTGCTAGCGGTCACACCCACCCTTCTCGCTCTGGTGGTGTGGCAGGCAAGCATGGACCATCTACGCAGCGCGCTGCTGAGCTGGGCACACAGGTTCTTAGCTCTCTGTCAATTACCTAGCCGCCATTTATACATGGCAGGACGGACATGGTGGCCTGGTTATCGATGATGATCGACGTGTTTGCGGCTCACATGATCCACAACGACGCTTGCGTCATCACTGTGGAGGTAGCAAGATCCAGGCTGAGGCGGACAAGAAGGCGTTTGGGTGGGAGGAATTTGTCTTTGCACTCAAGCAAGCTTTCCATGTCCAGCCGACAAAGTTGGAGGTTCGAAGCCGCCTTGAGAAGCTGCAGCGCGGAAATCTCACAGTTCAGCACTACGAGGTGGAGTTCTTAAAGATTTGGGTGCTCCAGAAACCAGTGGAATGCGTGAGCGAAAGCGGGAAGTTTTACCCTTTCGTCAAGGGGCTGCTTGAACACCTGCAGAGCATGGCACATGACAGATGGGGCTGGGGAGTCATGGAGGTCCTACGATCACGTGAAGCGTGTGGTGGGGAGCACTGATAAGCATTTCCGCGCTTATGCAAAACCACCACTTAGCCAGCAAGCCTCGAGGCCGGCGCCTAGTCTTGCGGGTTCAAGCGGAAGGCAGCAAGCAGCTCCTTGGAAGGGCGGGAACCACAAGAGGTCCCTTTCAGTAGGGATAGCAGGCTAAGCAGACGGCCAAGAAGCTTAACGAGGGTGGACCAAGCAATGTCCGGAGTTGCTTCAAGTACGGCAAGCCTCGTCTCAAGGGTTATGAGTGCCCTCACCTCAAGTCGGTGACAAACTCCGGCAAGCCTAAGATGGACAACAGGCGCCATGCTGGCAATGGCTTTCGGGCAGCCAGCGGGATTTTGCAAAGCCCAACTAGGGGGTGAGTACCTAGCGAGCATAGTAGATCGAGAGGACGAGGCAGTAGTCCTGAGGGATGAGGAGTTGTTGAAACTCGAGTGCCTTGTTGATTTCAAAATCTATTGTATGTATGCATTTTCTTTTAATGAGAGTTCTTTGCTTGCCTCTCTATTTCACACACTTGAGAGTATCATAGTTGAATCATTGCAAGATGAATTCCCAATAATTTTGTTGTGCTTATCAAGATTTAACTTGGATAATGGATGTTGTGGGTCGTTGCACTCAAGCGCACCCTCTAGCTACTGTTGGATTGGTAACGCGCACATTTCGAGGTAAATTATTCCGAGCACTTTACGGATGGAGCGTATTGGTGCAGTGGGATAAAGAACACAATGTGTGGTGGAGACAAGCTCGTTCTTTTGGACTTGAAAGCCCAAGACATGAACTACTCAACGCAAGTCAACGCAAAAGTGTTAGGTTTGGAACTGGGTTAGAGGGAGGTTTGGGAGGGTTGTGGTTGGAGCGTTTTTGCGACATACCCTTGGCGACAAAACTTCTTCGCCACACTTGAAGCGTGAGAAAAACGGCTGAGTGAGCAATTCCATTCGACACTCCAGAGCGGTAAGGAGCCTCTCAAACTGTGCACAGTTTGCCTCATTACGTGCAATGTAGTGAGTGAGTCTAGGATACCTGAACAGACATCAAATGTGCGAAACAAGCTGACGGATAGGCAGGGCGAGGACGTACAGAATAGGAGCGAACCTGCCAGCTTTTTTTACGGCGCGCAAGACACGATATAGGCAAGCAGCAGGTTTGTAACAGCGTCATCTTGTAAGGCGCCTCGCCGGGGTAAGCATGGGCGGATGCCGCGCTTTCGCCCTTCCGGCTTTCGTGTTGTCTGTCGCCAGCCACGAAATGCACGCATATTCCACCCATCGAGGTCGCAATCACTCCCTTCTCACGCCGCATCGTATTCGCATCCCTTCCGCGTTGCTATCTCCCTTACCTTCCACTGTTTACGAAAAGGGATTCCCATGTTTGGCGCCAGCGCATCCGCCGCATCGACCACTCGTCCCTTTCACGACCCCTCAATTTTCTGCCCGTCGCAGACATTGCACTTCAGGTCGCGCATGCCCTTTTCTTACCGGCGTCGCCCTCTATTACTATCCAGAAGCTGCCTCATTTCCCATCGCCGTACACAATTACCACTGCACCGCATACCCTTTATCTTCCTATCGCCCTCAAGGTTCCCATTACCTTTCCTCTCACTCCCATCCCGTCGCTTTATTCCACATCCCAACGCCCTTCCTATTTTTTGTCCCGATGCCCACTTTACCCTTCCCGTGTCCCGAAGCGCCTCAATAACCCTTCCCGTCGCCCACATTCCTCTTCCAGAGGCCCTCATTTCCCTTCCCGACCCTCATTTTCCCCTTCCCGTTGCTCCCGGCTCCCTTCCCGCCGCCATAATTTCCGTTCCCAAGGGGTCTCATTGCCCTACCCATCGTGCTTATTTCCCACCCGGTCGCCCTCATTTCCCTGCCAGATTCCTCGGCACTTCTCCGCACCCCCGCGCTCTACGGCCCATTTTCCATAAATCGCGTGGTAAGAATATGAGAATAATCGTCGCCCACGCATGTGACTCCCCCGCCCGCACTCGTTCCCCATTAGGTCAGCTCATCCCGCCTTGTCCGTATTTCTCCACGCATCCTTACCTATCGCACATCCCTCCATTCACGCGTCTCGCACTCCCCCAAAATTCTATGCTTCCATGCCTCCATTCCACCCTAGCTCCCTGGCATAAATAATTCCAACCCCCCTTCGTCCTCCGATTTCTTCCACGCTTCATTCTTCGACCACTTCCATCATAGCTACAGCTTCATCTTTCCCCCCTCTCTCCACGCTACCACTTGCACGGCCCTCCGCCATCTCATCCCCGCCCATCGCCGTGTGCGTCGCCCTCGCAGGCCCTCCGCGCCCACCTCGCGGCCGAACTCATCAACTCCTTGCTCACACTAGCCTTTGCCACAGCCTACGGTGCCCCTCCTGTCGCCCTCACGGTCGTCGCACTGTCTCCCACCACAGCTCTCCCAGCCCCACATTCCGCATTTCATGACGTTATAAGCCCCCCCACTTCGTCGCGCTCACCGCCTACCGCGTGACCTTGCGTGTGAGTACGTATTTCTGGCACTCTTCCTTCCTTCCTCTCTCCCTTCGCTATCTTCGTTCGTCCTGTGCCCACGAGCTTCCATCCTCCCTTCCGCCCGTCTCTCTCTCTCTCTCTCTCTCTCTCTCTCTCTCTCTCTCTCTCTCTCTCTCTCTCTCTCTCTCTCCCCCTACTTTTGTGACCTTTTCAATCATCCACCCCTCCCAGAGCGCTCATTTCCCTCACGTCACATCCCTCCGCCCTCGCATCCCATCCCTCCGCCCTCACATTCCATCCCTCCGCCCTCACATCATCCCATCCCTCCACCCTCGCATCCCATCCCTATGCCCTCGCATCCCATCCCTCCGCCCTCACATCCCATCCCTCCGCCCTCACATCATCCCATCCCTCCACCCTCGCATCCCATCCCTATGCCCTCACATCATCCCATCCTTCCGACCTCGCATCCCAACCCTCCGCCCTCACATCCAGGCATCCCTCCGCCCTCGCATCTCATCCTTCCGCCCTCACATCCCATCCCTCCGCCCTCGCATCCCATCCCTATGCCCTCACATCCCATCCCTCCGCCCTCGCATCCCATTCCTCCGCCCTCACATCATCCCATCCCTCCGCCCTCGCATCCCATCCCTATGCCCTCACATCCCATCCCTCCACCCTCGCATCCCATCCCTCCGCCCTCACATCGTCCCATCCCTCTGCCCTCACATCATCCCATCCCTCCGCCCTCGCATCCCATCCCTCCGCCCTCGCATCCCATCCCTCCGCCCTCGCATCCCATCCCTCCGCCCTCACATCCCATCCCTCCGCCCTCGCATCCCATCCCTCCGCCCTCACATCAAGGCAAGCCTCCGCCCTCGCATCCCATCCCTATGCCCTCACATCCCATCCCTCCACCCTCGCATCCCATCCCTCCGCCCTCACATCGTCCCATCCCTCTGCCCTCACATCATCCCATCCCTCCGCCCTCGCATCCCATCCCTCCGCCCTCGCATCCCATCCCTCCGCCCTCGCATCCCATCCCTCCGCCCTCGCATCCCATCCCTCCGCCCTCACATCAAGTCAAGCTTCCGCCCTCGCATCCCATCCCTCCGCCCTCACATCCCATCCCTCCGCCCTCACATCATTCCATCCCTCCGCCCTTGCATCCCATCCCTATGCCCTCAGATCATCCCATCCCTCCGCCCTCACATCCCATCCCTCAGCCCTCACATCCCATCCCTCCGCCCTCACATCCCATCCCTCCGCCCTCACATCCCATCCCTCCACCCTCACATCCCATCCCTCCCGTCGCACTGCCCTAAATTCTGTTGCCCCCCGCTCTGCCCATCATTCTTGTCCCCCCCCCCCTCCCCCCGCCCTGCCTTGAATCCCCTTCCCCCTCGCCTCGTCCCGAATCCACTTCCCTCTCACCCATCCTGAATTCTGCACTCCATTCCTGAAGTCTCTTCCCCCCATCTCGAATAATGCTTCCGCTCGGCCCTGTTTCCTGTTCCCCTACTGCACGTCAACAGAAACCCCACAAACAGATGAGGAAGGGCCTGTGCCGTGCTCATCGGCCGAGAACGTGTATGTAGTCGAGGGGGTGGGTGTCGAAGACAATACACGACCGAATGGCACTCATTCGAGCGAACAAAGTGGTGGCCTTTCTGAAGGGCCAAACAGGTACAAGCAAATATTGTCAGATAGAATAATAACCCTTATCTTCTTATCCGCATTAATTGATGAGATGTAGAGTAGTACGTGCGTTCTCTTATAAAACCACTCCTATTTTGTATCCCGCTTGAATTCTGTGCATGCAGACTGGATGCCGGGAGCGTGATACGCAAGCGTCGTTGGCCTCGTGGTTGGCCAAACCCCCCAAATTGGGAGGATTTTCCAACCGACATGGTGTGTCTTCTCGATCCGAGGGTGATGGTATCGTTCTTTTAAGTTCGTGCCTTGGGCACGTGCGTGAAGTCCGCGTGCAAAGGTGCAATGCAACTTGAGTCGTGGAAGTGGTCCTGGGCATGTCTGGGGTTGATGTGGTTGTGCAATGTCTGCTCAGCCAAGGAAGAATTATGGTCAAGTAGTCGAGTGAGAGATGACTTACCACGCAGCGAGCGTGGTCCACGTAGTCCGCCATTGATGGCTAAGCTGATTGGTGCATTCGCTCTTGCCGGGATCGGGTATCGGCAGATGTGGGAGGTATGTCGCACCCTCGGCGTGCCTAAACCAGGGCACGAGACATATTACAAGTTTCTGAAGGGGGACAATGGTTTGTGGAGTGTAATAATCGCAGAGACCCAGAAAAACATGATGCGCGTGCGTGTGAGCATGTCGTTGCGTCCAGGTCTAAAGTGATTATGTGTCGACGGAAGGTATTCACATGTGCGTGAGGCGCGGTGGTGTACCGTAACAATCATGGATAGGGAGAGTAGATAAATCGTTCATTACACGAACTCAAGAAGAGATAGGGACGACCGGTCATCAGTTAGGCTCGAGCGGATTGCTTTTGACAAGGGCATGGACGAGCTGAGCAGGGATGGGTTTAGCGTAGATGGCATTATAACGGATGAGGGTAGCGCTTTCAAGGGTGCTACTAGGGAGAGAGGGTTGAGGCATCAGGTGGACTAGTAGCACAAGTGTGGTACTGAGATTAGAAGTTTTCGATCAGAGGTACAAGATGTTAAAAGGAAGGTCCCGGGTTCGGTAGCGGGGGCGAGCACTTGTGAGGATCTGTACTTGATTACTAATGTCAAGTTACCGGATTGGCTGCGAGCTGCACCGAGTTGGGACTCGGGGCAACCAAGGCCCACGACGAAGAAAGGGCTCGTACAGGCAGTGTGAGATCTACGTGGGTTCGGGTTCAAGGATATGGACCCCGCTGATGCCAAATGGCTACACCCTAAGTTGCAGCAAGTGCTGCAGAGCCGGGGAAGTGGGAGTGCAGAGCCAGTCGACACAGAGGTCCATGGGGTGTCATTACCTGATCGACACGCTCAACATCGATCAGGAGCTGAGGTCGGAGTTGGGGGGGTGGAGAATGCGAACGGTTTACGCGACGCATGCCGGATGTGGCCGGATGTGGCCGAGCTATGGAGCTATGACGCGCATCCAGAGTATGGGATATGGCCGTCCTTGTATGCCTCCTTGGTGCTCATACAGGCCTGGAACGGGTTTGAAGCGGGTTCTTTATTCATGGGTAAAGAGGCAACCGGCCAAAGTAATAATCATGGTAACTTGCTTCTGTTCCCTTCCTCCCATCATCTCTCCCTGTGTTTCTCCTTTGTTCCCTTCCTTTGTTTACCCTTCCTATCTCCCACTTTCCATTCCTCAGTCCCTTCTTCCACTTTGCCCATCTGCATTTACCTCGCTGTTACCATCCTCAATTCCACCTTTCCTCTGATTTTCCCTTGCACCCATCCCTCCCTTCCATTGAGTTTGCCCCTTCGCCCCCACCTCCACCCTACTCCTTCCCCCCACCCTCCCCATGCACTCACCTACCTCTTCCATTCGCACATCCCAGTATTCCATCCCCCTCATACTCGTACGCTTCATATTCACCCAAACAATACATTGATAATATGATACGCAGGCAGCCAAGTTGGGGGTCGGGAAGAGACGATCACCGAAAACGGTGGAGGGACCCAAGCCACATCAGACAGGGCTGGTGAGAGCCTCGGCGTGGGGGCAGCCTCTGTTTTTTACCATCCTCTTTCCCTCGGTTTCTCCACCCCTCCCATCCCCAGTTTTCCCTCCCCTCCCGTCCTCTTGTTTTCCCCATTGTATGTGCCTCCATTTTGCCCATCAACCCTCTTTACCGCTTTCGACTTCCTTCCAAACTAAACCACTTTCATCCCATCCATTCTCTGTTTCTGCATCTCATCTTCCACAACCTACGAGTTTCCGTTCAACATTCAGTCTCATTTCCCAACCCTCTTCCATGTTTTTGCTGTCCTCTCTTTCTTTGTAATCAGTTCGCTCGTACCTCCCTCAGTTCTTCTCCATCCTATCGTCCACCTTTTTTTATTTTCCTGCGCACCGTCACTCCCTATCATACCATACTTTGGAAACATCATGTGCAGGCAACCAAGATGGGGCTCAGGAAGAGACGGCACCCGAAGACCTAGGAGACACCCAAGCTGCATCAAATTGGGCTGCAGAGAACGAGGGCGTAGGGGTTGCCTCGGAAGAGGAAACTCCTAGGAGGTGGGGACGGCGAGGGCAACGCAGAAGGACACGTGGTGGAGACGGTGGAGGCGTCAACGGTGAGGGTGAGATAGAGGCGAGGGAGAAGGATGTGACCATTTCTGACCGTCTTGCTGTGCATTTATACCACTGTATGATGCGCAGCAGGGTGAAAGCCCGTGAGGGAAACACTCGCACTTGCGAGGATGTTTCAGCCGAACTATGCCTTGTAGCAGATCATTTTGCAAGCCTTCATTCTGGGTGCAGCAGAAACTGGGGTGAGGAGAGTGCGGTGTATGAACCAAATTCTGCGACTCATTTGGCCGTGCGAGAGTGGTGTGAAAAACATTTCAGTTCTGCCAAGGTTGCAGGCATAGTGGAGGGGGCAACAAATTGTATGAATGAGTCGTTTCACTCCCTTATTATCAAATATGCACCAAAGCGCATTCTATTCAAGGCCGCTATTCAAGGATAGTTATCAGCCGCAAATCGCCATGACAGCTCTCCACTGGAACAACACTATGGATCGTGTTGTTCGGGCCTATGTCACTCAGGTGCGACATACGACAAGAACGCGTTGTGGACGGAGAGATCGGGCGCTTGGACCGATTGATTGGAGTTGGGCTGACAATATTTTGAGGGAGTGGAGGCGGCCGTTTACAGATGGGGTGGAAAGTAATGGAATGTCCGCCAACGTGGACGCCACTCCAACCTCAAGAGAGATGGCAGAGGATGAGTCACCACAAGCGGATTCTCCCACCGCTGCCAGGCCATCCCAAGGTGAAGATTTCGGATAGGGAGTATCACAGTTGAGATCTCCAATCACCTCGCGACCAGTGCCCGATACAACGCATGTCATCTCGAATGGCGCACGTCGCAACTTATTTGGTATGTACATAGTATCGGTGCATGGGGTCGTAATAGTAACACCTTAGTAATCTTCAATTCCAATTCATTCTCCCTGCAGGAAACGTCTCAAACGTGCGATAGGGACATCCCTTATGGCAGCCCTCTAATGTGAGGTGAGGGCGGGGGGAAGGCGAGGGGCCGGGGAAGTTTCGGGGAGGGGTAAGGTGAAGGAAGGGGGTAGGTGGGAGGGGGTGGTGGTAGGTAAGGGTACTCTGAAACTCAGTGCTGAACATGACTCTGCACATTCTCTTTCCCCCTCTCTTTCCCCCTGAACGAGCCCCCGCTCATTCCCCTCACCACCGCTCCTGCATTCTTTTCTCTCAACACGCCCGCTACCCTTCTCAGGTATCACCTCTCTTTCCTCTTAACCATTCTCTCCTATCCCCTCTTGTTTCCCCCACTCATATGCATAGTTAAATGCACCTCTACACATCTCCCTCACGGCCACCGTGCAGCACTAATGGCAGAAGCATAGAAGCTGGCAGAGAGCCTTGTCGACACCATTCGGCAGGAGTGGCAGAACAATAGAGTCCTTTTGGGGAGTGGCGGAAGCGCATGTTTCTGGAGGTGGAGGAAGGGGAGGAGGAGGAGGGGGAGTGGGGTGAGGTGCATAGGGGCAAAGAGAAGCGCAACAGGCAAGGGGAAAAAACGCCGAGAGGGTGAGGGGCATGGAGAAGGCAGAGATGGATAGGGGGAGAGGGTGAGGGGCAGGGAGAAGGCAGAGATGGATAGGGGGAGATGGTGAGGGGCAGGGAGAAGGCAGAGATGGATAGGGGGAGAGGGTGAGGGGCAGGGAGAAGGCAGGGATGGATAGGGGGAGAGGGTTAGGGGCAGGGAGAAGGCAGGGATGGATAGGGGGAGAGGGTGAGGGGCAGGGAGAAGGCAGGGATGGATAGGGGGAGAGGGTGAGGGGCAGGGAGAAGGCAGGGATGGATAGGGGGAGAGGGTGAGGGTCAGGGAGAAGGCAGGGATGGATAGGGGGAGAGGGTTAGGGGCAGGGAGAAGGCAGGGATGGATAGGGGGAGAGGGTGAGGGGCAGGGAGAAGGCAGAGATGGATAGGGGGAGATGGTGAGGGGCAGGGAGAAGGCAGGGATGGATAGGGGGAGAGGGTGAGGGGCAGGGAGAAGGCAGAGATGGATAGGGGGAGAGGGTGAGGGGCAGGGAGAAGGCAGAGATGGATAGGGGGAGAGGTTGAGGGGCAGGGAGAAGGCAGGGATGGATAGGGGGAGAGGGTGAGGGGCAGGGAGAAGGCAGAGATGGATTGGGGGAGAGGTTGAGGGGCAGGGAGAAGGCAGGGATGGATAGGGGGAGAGGGTGAGGGGCAGGGAGAAGGCAGAGATGGATTGGGGGAGAGGGTGAGGGGCAGGGAGAAGGCAGGGATGGATAGGGGGAGAGGGTGAGGGGCAGGGAGAAGGCAGAGATGGATTGGGGGAGAGGGTGAGGGGCAGGGAGAAGGCAGAGATGGATTGGGGGAGAGGTTGAGGGGCAGGGAGAAGGCAGGGATGGATAGGGGGAGAGGGTGAGGGGCAGGGAGAAGGCAGAGATGGATTGGGGGAGAGGGTGAGGGGCAGGGAGAAGGCAGGGATGGATAGGGGGAGAGGGTGAGGGGCAGGGAGAAGGCAGAGATGGATTGGGGGAGAGGGTGAGGGGCAGGGAGAAGGCAGAGATGGATAGGGGGAGAGGAGCAGCAGCAGCAGCAGCAGCAGCAGAAGAAGCAGCAGTAGTAGCAGCAGCAGCAGCAGCAGCAGCTGCTGCATCAGCAACCGCATCAGCCCCCGCATCAGCAACAGGATCAGCAACAGCATCAGCAGCAGTAGCAGTGATCATCAGCCCCATTAATCACTCCATCTACACATGTTCACGTGCAACGCTAAGCATGCGCATGCCTCGCACTTAACCTGCCATCGCGATGCGGTCGTTTTTTCCCTAGTAGTGACGGAGAATGTAGCAACTCGCGCCTCCATGGCTAGAAGCGAAGATTTGAAACAAGCCCTTCCCCACCAAATACCAGACTTGACTGCACATAAAGGGTTAATTCTTTTATCTTATCATCATTTCTGCGATGGTTATCCATCTACTTCTCACACCTTTGCAGAATGAGTAAAACGAGAAATTAATATGACCATTATGGCAAGTCGTTCCTGATAACCCGTACTCCCGTGCTAACAATCAGTAAATTCCAGGTTCCTGCGTCTCCAACTTGACAATTGTCCTCTGTCTAGCATCGATTGACCTCATGCCAAAATCAATCTCGTCAGGGATGACCCATTCCAGGTTGAACCAGTCCACATTGCCTTGACTAAATTTTCTGTAACCCTCGCCCGTTGGCTCGGGGTAAAGTCAGCCTAACACGACGTAGATTAGCCAATGCAGAGTCACCTGTGTGAACGGATGATCACCTAACAAGGCAGAGTATTGAATGTAGCAATGAAAACGATGGTTCGCAGCGGTCATAGGTTGAACTTGAGAATCCTCATCCATATTTTTCCCAAGCACACCCTCAGAATGCTCGCCACATTAGTTCTCTGACTCCCCTCCGCCCTCACATCATCCGACAATCCGAGCCAATGTCGAGCCCATTTGTCAAGAACACAATATTTCTTGGCATGATGCTCCTCAAACTCATATATGGACCACCATTCTTTTGCATATTGAACCTGTGGGGGCAATCCTGTTGGTTGCACAACTCTTCAAGCACGAACTTTGGGAAAGGGATGCGTTGTGCTAGCGGCAACCGAACAAGTATGGGCGGAAAGGGTGCCCGTACTTGCCGTGGCCATCAACCCCTGTCCACGTCGTCGGCCCCTTTCCTCCTCATCATCCTTGAAACCCTCCTCCCCAACCCTGAATCCAAGCGTTAGTTGTCTCCGAGGAGTACGTCGCCATGATGACATAATTGATGAGGTGTGTGGTTTAGAGGGTGAGAGGAGGGAATATCAGGTAGAAAACAAGAAGGGAGAGGGAGAGGTTAGGAAGTGAAGGGGGAGGGGGCGGAGGTGGTGGGGGGGGGGTAAGGCTGTCACTGACTTGAGTAGGGAAGCCGGACGAGGGAAGGATATTGTAAAGTTGGTTCTCCGAATGGGAGGACTGGGGGGTGAGAAGGTAGGGGTGCTGGGAAATAAGGGGGTAGGAGTTACATCTAAAGGACTGAAGCCGGGTTCACAAGCGGCTGAGAAGCAAAGGCAGAAAGGAACGATGAGCTGGCGGGGAAGGGAGAGGAATAGGAGGGGATGGAGAAAGTGCGGATGGGAAGGAGGGGAATGCAGAGTTGCTTTCCTGGTTTAGAGGATGGCAAGTGAGGTATGGCAGATGGAAAGTATGGCTACTCTAAAACTCAGGACGCGAGGGTGCCGCGATGGACGAGGGGAGAGGTGGGATGTAAGGGAGTGATCATGGGTAACCATGAAAGGGGGCGGCATGGGAGCTAGAATGGCACCCACGGCAACTCGGAATAATGTAGGGGGATTCCCAATATGGGAACGCAGTGAGGGTGCTCGCGTAAGGACATGTGGGACGAGGGGACCCTAAACTAATGTGAGATAAGCACAGAGGGATGGTGACGGTTGAGTGAGGAAAAGGGCATTGGGACGGCAGATTCCAATCCATGATAAGTACTGGTAAGGTGCGTGGGAAGCACCTGATGATGGAGGGGTGACCAAGGATGTAGGATCCCAAACCTCAGTTCACTCAACCTGCAAGAGGAGCAGAGGAGGGAAAGGGGAGTAGAGAGGGAAAAAGGAGCAAGGGGGGGAAAGTGGAGCAGGGGGGAAACAGAGGGGCAGTGGGGGAAAAGAGGAGCAGAGGGTGGAAAGAGGTGCAGTAAGGGAAAAGAGGAGCTGGAGGGGGAATCTTGAGCAGAGGGGGACAAGAGGAGTAGAGGGGAGAAAGAGGAGCAGAGAGGTGGGGTGGAGAGCAGGGGGCGAAAACTGGAGCAGGGGAAAAAAGAGGAGCAGATGGGGAAATGCCAGCGTGCTCGGAGCGTTTTTGAGGGCGTGAGAGGTGGGGAAACGAGGGCAAGCAGGGTGGGAAATGAGGACAGCAATCGAGGGGGAAACGAGGGCGGACAGGTGGGGATGAGAGGGCGTGCCAGGAGGGTTTTCTGAGGGCGTGCAAGGTGGGGAAACGACGGCAAGCAGGGTGGGAAATGAGGGTGTGGAAGAGGGGGAAATGAGGGCGTAAAGGTGGGGAATAAAGGGCGTGCAAGGAGGGTTTTCTGTGGGCGTGCAAGGTGGGGAAACGAGGGCAATCATGGTGGGAAATGAGGGCAGCAATCGAGGGGGAAACGAGGACGTACAGGTGGGGAAGAGAGGGTGTGCAACGAGGGTTTCCTGAGGGCGTGCAGAGGGGCTGCGGAAGCCTCGCCGTTGCAAGAGTGCGAGCCAGCGCCGAGGGCAATATTCGTGATCAGCGACACGAAAGGAGGCCGTCGCGAGACGCGGAGAGGCAGCGAGGGTTCAGCACGCAGACTAGAGGAGCACGCGCAGGGGGGCGAGAGGAGCACGCGAGGGGAGGCGAGAGGAGCACGCGCGGGGAGGCGAGAGGAGCGCGCGCGGGGAGGCGAGAAGAGCGCGCGCGGGGAGGCGATAGGAGCGCGCGGGGAGGCGAGAGGATGTCGCGCGGGGAGGAGAAACGTGGGCGTGTGCGTAGGGGGGTGTGTGAGAGACAGTGGGGGGAAGCGTGGGGGTCGCGGACGGCGATAGGGCCAAATGCGATGTTTGCGGCCAGGCGAGGTACGGGCTTATCGAGTGTGGAAACGTGGGTGCCCCAGTCTGGAGAGTGGGGAGGGGTGGGGACACGACAACGGAGAAAGGGGGTGGTCGGAGTGGTGAACGAAGCGTCGGAATGGGGCACGACGACATTGACGAGGAAGCGACGGGAGGGGAGAGGGGTAAGGGCGATGGGAGGGCAATGGCGACGGGGAAAGGGGGGAAGCGACTGCGATGGTGCGTCAAGGGGGAGGACGATGTGTGGGGGTTTGAGGTTCACCTATCGAGGCAGTTTATAGCGACGTAGAATAATATGCGCTTCGAGCGTTTTACGCTTGGGATGATGGCAAAATAAGTGTGGTCGGGGTTGAAGGTAGGAAATTGTGTCAAGCACTTGCTTTAGTGGCTCCTCATTCTATCTCACCGCATGAGTTTCGCGTACTAGACGCACAAGCAATCCTGAATTACCATTTTTCTCAAAACTGTGCACAGGCAGAGCCCTTCTTCCTTCAGCAAAGGGTGGTTGGGACTCTCATCAAGCAAACCTGTTCTGCTCTACGACTCAGCCTTTTTGTGATGCGACGTTTTCTGGTAACCAGCCTGGCTCGGGAGGTCAACTGTGGGTTCGGTAGGCAAACTGTGCTTAGTTTGCCCTATTATTTGTAATTCAGGTCTTAGGCTTTAACAACCACGACATTAAGGCATAATCCTTGCCTCCTACTGATATTACGGCATGTCCTACCCGACCTAAACATCAGCAAAACCTTTTGTTTTCTGGCGGTGTAAATGGGCGCAATGCTTCGATCCTGGTTGATACAGGTGCGATTGCATCATTGATCGATAAGAAGTGGATGGGATACTTGAATTCTCCTGTTCAAGGACCATCTTGTTCTATCCGTTTCAGAGATGACAAGGTCATCCCATACAGAGGGCATGCGTTAGTTAACCGGGATATCCAAGGATATGAGGAGACCATCAGCGTTGTTGTCTTACCCCTTCTAGCAGGAGAAGACATTGTCTTGGGAATGGATTGGTTACGACTTTATGAGGTGGTTTTGTCCCATTCACAATAAATAGGACGAAGACATAATGGCAAGTCCCAAAGCGGCATGCACTGGACGACAAACTTAAAGCTTGACTCTTGATGTGCGCTTTGAATCGGCTCTCCAATTCAAAGAGCACGTCAACGGAGCTGATACACTTTCCGTGTCAGAGGTCCACTAGAGATCCCCGATTGATCCTAGGGAAGGGTTACAGGCACGTTGGCCTGGGGGGTTATGGGCGCACTGACCCGCTACTTAACAAGCCCTTTTATCCCAATGGTCTAGTGGTTGGGATTCTGACATTCCGTTGTACAGTTAGACTCCGAACCAACTATCAGTAGACCTACACCGTGAGATCCCCGATTGATACTAGGGAGGTTACTGGCGCGTTCGCCTGGGGGTTATGGGCACACGGACCCGCTATACAGACAAGCCTTTCTATCCAGTAAACTAGTGACTGGGATTCTGGCATCAACCACTTCACGGATTATTAAGGATTTTTCACCTCAAATGAAGGTTTGACAGAGAAATATTATGAGGTTTTTGAACCGATACCGGACGGTCTTCCTCCGAACCGGGCAGTTGGCCATACCATCCCGGTGGAACACGAGAAAGCTGTCAGAATGTTATTATCTAGCCTGTAGTGGGGTGCTCTATAGCGAGTACAACCCTGTTAGGGTTTGCTATATGTATCCCAACTACTGCTAGTGAAACCCCTCCTTTCTTCACATTCCTCGTTCTTTCACATGCTATCAGAGCAGGTCGACCCTCCTGGGTCGTTCCTGTGTATGGGCCCACCACCTCACTGCTTCCGCTGCCACTGCTACTCTGTGTGTTGCACGCCCCGTGGCGTGCGACGGATTTTTCTTCCCGCCGCGCGCTCGGAGCGTGCGGCGGTTTTCTGCCCGCCGTGCGCCCCGAAGCGCGCGGCAGTTTTCTGCCCGCCGTGCGCCCCGGGGCGTGCCGCAGTTCTCTGCCCGCCGTGCGCCCCGAGGCGCGCGGCGGCTTTCTGCCCCGTCGGTCCGCGCGTCGCCCCCGAGGGGCGCTTCGACGGGCGACGGGGACCAGCCCGTCGTCCCCGGTCGCCCGTCCCGGCCAGCGCGGGCTGCGCTAGCCCCGAGCGCGGCCCGTACGGGCTGCGCCAGGCCCGCGCGCGGCTCGGGCCGCCTGCGCGCGGTTCGTCTGGCTGTGCCAGGCCCGTGGGCGGCCCGTTCTTCTCTGCCCCTGAGCTGCCCGCTGTCCCCCGTGCTTCTGACGGCGCCCCACCCCTGCTGCTGCCCGTTCTCCTGAATTAGGGTTTGGGGGTGGGGGGTATGGGGGTGCAGTTTCTGTGCGCCGTCCCCTGCTCCTCCTCCTCCTCCGTCTCCCAGTGCTGCAGCTGCCGCTCAGGGGGGTGGATGTGTTGTGTTGGAGCCGTCGGAGTGGTACGAGGGGGTGACATGGGAGTGGAGTTAGGGGTGAAGCAGTTAGGGTGTGTGTCAAGGGTGTGGGTCAGTTGGAGGAGGTTGTGTGGAGGTAGCTGTCGTGTCGCCTGCAGCGCCTGTAGTCCGTCGCCCTTGCTTCGGTAGCCAGTGAGCCTGTTGCACCAGTCGCCAGTGGGTCCGTTGCTCCTGCCGCTCGTCTTAGCCGCGGAGCCAGTCACTCCAGTAGTCCGTCGCCCTTGCTTCGGTAGCCACTGAGTCAGCCGCTCCTGTGCCCGTGCCTCTGCAGCTTCAGTCGTTGCCTCCCATCTTCTCTCCTTCCACAGTTCCTCCTCCTCCTCACTTGCCCGCTGTGATTACCTCTAGCTTTGCTTATTATTGTGAACTCCTGCTCATTGTGCTGATTACACCCCACTTTGGCTATGGGGGTGTGTCAGAATGTTATTATCTAGCCTGTAGTGGGGTGCTCTATAGCGAGTACAACCCTGTTAGGGTTTGCTATATGTATCCCAACTACTGCTAGTGAAACCCCTCCTTTCTTCACATTCCTCGTTCTTTCACAAAAGCGCCATCATTCAAACCTCTGTATCGCCCCAATCCAGCTGAGTACGAAGAGGAAAAAAAAAACATATTGAGGAATACCTCAAAAAGGGACGGATCGAACCAATTGCATCCCTATATGGAGCACCTATCTTGTTTGTTCACAAGAAGGGATTCCGCATCTTTGTCGATTATTGAGCCCAGAATGAAATTATGATAAAAAATGGATGTCCACTTTCGCGGATAGAATCTTTTTTTTATCGATTACATGGTGCGCAATGGTTCAGTGCATTGGATTTGGCACAAAGTTACCACCAATTGCGTATAACAGAGAACGATGTTAAAAAAAAAGCCTTTCGTTCAGCGTTCGGCCATTTTCAATGGCGTGTGTTTAATCTTGACTTGACAAACGCTCCATACTCTTTCTAGAGGGCGATGAATGATGTGTTTTGTGATGCAATTGGTCAGTCCGTCTTGAGGTACTTCGATGATATCCTGGTATAGTAAAAAACCAAAGACAAGCATACGGAACATCTGAAATAGGTCCTCGAAAAAATAAGTGAGCATAAATGCTGTGCATATTTGTGGAAGAATCATGTTTACAAACGTGAGCTAGAGTATTTGGGGCACGTGGTGGGGAATAATCTGTTTAACGCGGACCCCAAGAAAATAGTAGCTGTCCAGTAATGGCCCGTCTCACGCGACGTTGGCCAAGTTCGATCATTCTTGGGCCTGACAAATTAATTTCGTCGTTTCTTAGAGAACTATTCCACGATAGTCGCTCCTCTCACAGGATTGACCAGGAATGGGTGTGCATGGGAGTGGACTCTACAGTGCCATAGGCCTTTGAAGAGGTCAGATATAAATTAAATAAAGCACCAGTTTTGGTATGGCCAAACCTACAGAAACCATATGAGGTGGTTACAGACGCCTCTGTCAGAATCCCAACCACTAGACCATTGGGATAAAAGGGCTTGTTTGGATAGCGGGTTAGTGCGCCCATAACCCCCCAGGCCAACGTGCCTGTAACCCTTCCCTAAGATCAATCGGAGATCACCAGTGGACCTCTGACACCCCCCCGCCCTGGGATGCCCGAAGTGCACACGCTGGGATTCGAACCCGAGACCTTCGCTCCGATACCATGTCAGAATCCCAACCACTAGACCATTGGGATAAAAGGGCTTGTTAAGTAGTGGGTAAGTGCGCCCATAACCCCCCAGGCCAACGTGCCTGTAACCCTTCCCTAGGATCAATCGGAGATCACCAGTGGACCTCTGACAGCCTCAACGATGGGACTTGGAGCAGTGCTCCTGCAAGAAGAATGTCCTGTGGCATTTGAGAGTAGAAAACTTTCCCTAGCAGAGCAATGCTACACAATTACTTAACAAGAGTTGTTGGCTGTCGTGCATGCGCTAAGAATACGGCGATGCTATTACTCAATCATAGTTCAGACAGCCGATAGGGGTGGCAACTGGGCTTGCCGATACCGAACATGCTGTTGTTTTTTCTACCTGTTTTGGTACTAGCTACGGCAAAAGTGAGCGAAATTGCGTTCAGTGGTTTTCTGAAACGAATTCGTACAGGATATCATATTGATTCTTGGTTCCATAACCCACAAAACACCAAACAGGAACACGATCTCTGATGGCGAACAAAAGAGATTACGGTGCGTCATGTAGGCAATCTGCGGAACAATATTTTGGAAGAGGTGCATGCCACTAAACTTGGGGGAGACTTGAGCATGAATAAGATCCGGTGGGCCTTACGTGATGTATATTGGTGGCTAGGAGTCGGTAGTGATGTCCGGTAGTTTGTGGCACGTTGTGACACGTGCGCACGTAATAAACTGGACACATAGAAGCCTGGTGGTTTGCTTCAACCACTTGAAATTCCGAGTGGACATTGGGAAAGTGTTTCACTTGATTTCATCACCGATCTCCCAAGAACCCGTGATGGTTATACGGCGATACTCGTGTTTGTGGATCGCCTTACAAAAGTGGTGCACTTTGTACCCACGACATTGGATGTATCAGCAAAGGCTACAGCCCAGTTGTTTGTGATGCATGTATTCCGCCTACACGGATTATCACGTGTATAGTGTCTAGCCGCGACCCACGCTTTACAAGCTGATTCTGGCGTGAAATATCCCAGACACTAGTGACGAAGCTTAAGATGTCGTCAGCGTTCCACTCTGAGATAGATGGGCAAACGGAATGAACTAACCGTACTCTCGAACAAATGCTTCGTTTGTTCATAAGCCCAACACAGGACAATACAGATGAGCTGTTACCCATCGTCGAGTTCGCGGTTAAGAACTCGGTGCATGATAGCACACATGAAAAACCCATTTATCCTAATTTGTGGTCGGCATCCCACAACACCTGCCACGCATGGGATCGGCGGTTTACAGTTACCCGCCGCAACGGATTTTGTGGGCATGCAAGGAGAGGCCCTGCAGTTGGCACGTCGTTGGCTCCAATTAGCCCAGCAAAGATATGAAACGCCGGGAAGTCTCATTCTCCATTGGAGATAAAGTTTTGTTAAGCGCGAAAATCATTCCGCTTCATATCCATATTGCGAGAAAGTTGTTCCCTCACTGGATTGGGCCCTTCGAGGTGGTTCAGCGAGTTGGTGTGGTAGCTTATAAGCTCAAGCGAACTGATACCCTTCAGATTGACAATATCTTCCATGTATATCTGATAAGCAAGTACGTTGCAGAAAGCAAGTACTTACCACCACCAACAATCGTCCTAGGAAAGGAAGTGTAGTATGAACTCGAACGAGTGCTTTTGCATCGTGATCGACAACGCGGCCGCAAAACTGTACAAGAGTTCCTCATCAAGTGGAAAGGCTATGGGCTTAACACAACTCTTGGAAATTGGAAGAACATTCGACTGGCACTGCGGTTCAGTCTTACATGGAAGACCTGGCTCAATGAGCACTCCCACAGCGAGCGAGTATTGACCATGGTCGTAATGTTGCCCATCGTGTTCACATCACTCGTCCTAAGAAGCACCCCACGGCAACGAGGACGTTGCCAGCTGGAGGGAGGGGCGTAACATATCAACCACTAAGGCATGTCCAATGAACATGATGTGGGAAATGTGGGAAGCAAGATTCGGGTTGGATTGGGAAGCGGTTGGAAAGCCAACCATTCAGAACAATGATGTAAAGTTGTTGACTGAACCTAAGCGATTGGTTTGAGTTGGTTGGTTCCCAGCCAGTCTACGTTTCAATTGGTTGACAAATTCAACCATTGCAAAATGGGCAAAGCCCATGGAGGTGCACCCCTCCTTGCCATGAGGAAGGTGGTTGCAACCCAAGGGATAGTCTGAAGGGGTCTAAGCTTCCCAATCTCATTTTTCATTTCCTTTCCCCAACAACTCAATTGGGAGAAAGGATTGTTCTCCTGTCGAAACAGCAGGCGAAAACGAGAAACAGAAAAGAGGTGTTTTCACTAGCAGAGTTGAGATACATAAAGGAAACCCTAATTGGGTTGTACTCGCTAAAGAGTACCCCACTGCAGGCTAGACAAACATCACATTCTGACACACCCCCATAGTCAAAGTGGGGTATAATCAGCACAACAAGCAGGCAGAGCAGTAGTTCACAAGTATAAGCAAAGCTAGAGGCAGTCACAGAGGGCAAGTGAGGAGGAGGAGAAACTGTGAGGGCGAGAAGATGGGAGGCGACGGCTGAAGCTACAGACACACAGGCAGCAGAAATGCGCAGCACTGTCGCTACCAGGCTAAACCCGGACTACACGGCGACAGACGCAGCTGGCTCACTGTGCTCCCAGGAGTGCACACACTGTGGCTACCGGGCGCAGAGCCCCGGACTACTCAGGCCACAGGGGGTCGTGGCTCTCTGGACTACCAGGAGTGCTCACACTGTGGCTACCGGGGGCAGAGCCCCGGACTGCTCAGGCTACAGGGGGTCGTGGCTCTCTGGACTTCAGGCGCTGCGGACGACAAGTCGGCTACCTCCGGTCAACCTCCCCCAACTGTCCCACACCCCTTTCACACACTCCCTGCTGCACGTCTAGCACTGCTCACACGCCACCCCCCTCGTACCACTCCGACGGCTCCAACATATCCACCCCCCTCAGCGGCAGCTGCAGTAGTGGGAGACGGAGGAGGAGGAGGAGCAGGGGACGGCTCACACACCCGGCACCCCCCATGCTCTCCACCCCCAAACCCTAACACAGGAGCGCGAGCAGCAGCGGGGGTGGGGCGCGGTCAGAAGCTCGAAATGAACCGCGCGCGGGCCTGGCGCAGCCCGTACGGGCCGCGCGCGGGCCTGGCGCAGGTCGCGCGGGCCGCGTCGGGCGACGGGGGGCGACGCGCGGGTCACCGGGGCAGGCAGAAAACCGCCACGCGCCCCGAGCGCGCGGCGGGAAGAAAAAACGCTGCGCGCTCCGAGCGCACGGCAGGAAGAAAAACGGCGCGCGCCCGGGGCGCGCTACAGGCAGTAGATCAGCGGAAGCATTGGGTGGGGCCCACCCACAGGATCGACCCAGGAGGGTTGACCTGCTCTGATACCATGTCGAAACAGCAGGCAAAAACGAGAAACAGAAAAGAGGTGTTTTCACTAGCAGCAGTTGAGATACATATAGGAAACCCTAATTGGGTTGTAGTCGCAATAGAGTACCCCACTGCAGGCTAGACAAACATCACATTCTGACATCTCCAACTATTGTGCCTCCACACGCTGTTACTGCTTCCTCCACTGCTTTCCAGACTTGGGCAATTTTAGGAGCTGCAACTCTTTGATTTGTAACAGGCAATTTTAGGAGCTGCAACTCTTTCATTTGTACCAGAGCTTATTTCTATTTGGGTAAATGTCCTTTCTATTTGCAAATACGTTTTATCGCCACCCCATCGCCCTCGCTCCACCACCAGAACGATGAAGACATATACGAGCGTTCCTATCCCTCAACAACAACACAAGCAAAGATGGTGTGGGCTCTTTCTTCACCGTTTTGCCCCTCGTCACCAGCTCTATCCCTTCCATCTTCTCACCAGCTGCAAGATCCTTTTGGGAGGTTTCAGCTGGCTCTTTACAACAGCTCACCCAACAGTTCCCTGACAGGCTGCTACTGGTTGCGAGACATCTTGTATCGCACTCCCCGTTTCCCCTCCCCTCCCCTCTCCTCCCATCTCTTTCCCTCCCTCTCCTCTTTCCCCTCCCAAATCCCCTCCCTTTTCGGATCCTCTTTCCCCTCCCCTCGTATCCCCTCTCCTCCCCTTTTGTGTGGGCGTGAGCTTACATCACAGTTTCCAGCCATAAACGAGAGCGCTGGTGCTGAAGCACTTCTTCACAAACTGGGATCTGCGGGTGTGGAAGCGCTGAAGTGCGGGCGAGATAAGGCAATAGGCGGGCGCGATAAGAGTGATGTGTGGGCGCGGGAGCTACGTTTATGACGGGAGAGGTTGAGCACCTCTCGCGATCTAGTTTATCACTCTGTGGGTTTAGGGTTGTGGGCTCTGTCAGCGCGGTGCGCTGTGGGCTGTGGTTGCTAAGCTATTTATTGCTTGGTGTACGTATGCCATGGAATGAGTCATGTGCGATTTGGTTCACTAAGGCCGTGTTCGATAGGATAGCACCAACGGCCGCGGAATCAACGAGGCTATTTCGACTTTGGGTTTTTTCCCTGGTCAGCCCCAAAACTGGTGCTGAACCTGTTGAACACTCCCGAACATGGCTAACACGTGTATCCTGTCGAACGCATCTTTTACAAGAAGTGTTCTCTCTCCCTCCCCCCCCCGAAACATCCAATGTCCTTCTCGCTCGGGCAAGGGATGAGCCCGGGCCTAGCCTAACCCTCGCCCTCCCCAGAGTGGGGTTTGCCAAAGGGCTCGGTTAGGGCTAGCAGTGGGAGGGATACCCATGGCGTGCACCCAAAAAACATTTCCGATGAATCCAACTGCTCGAAAAAAAACTCTACCCTAAAAAACTAGTTCACGGGTTGTGGGGGATCTTTTTTTTTTTTTTTTTTTTTTTTTCAATGGCAGGTTTTACACAGAATCGTCTAGCATGCAATGCATTTTTTTCAACCCAGCCCGCGATGACCCTGGTAGATCCAGGTGAGTAGTACCGCCCTTAGGGCCCCGCTCTTTCCGATCTCTAGGGGCGGGGCTTCCGATTTGGTTGGGCGGTCGGTCAGCTAGGGAAAGTTGCGCTGAAAACTCCTACTAATACTAGCCTAACCCTAACCTATCAAACAGTACCTAAGTGCCTGGTGGCCCCAACCCATTCCCAACTCCCACATTCCCTTTTGCTACTCACGGGGAGAAATCACTCACGCAACTCCGCCAACACTGACCTGTCAAGATAGCATGCAGGAATGAGTTGCATTGAATGGATTGTGGGTACAAGTACTAACCCTAATATTGGGTTGTACCCCACATGGGCTACCTCACTATAGCCTACACACAACTAGCACAGATATGGTTTGACATGACCCATTTTGTCTATGACGATTCGTTTTTCGGACTGTCCGCTTGAAATGGTGGTTACTATTGTCGCCAAAATGCGCCTGTTTTTCGTACGTAACCATGCGACGTCGCATTCGCAACATAACCGGGTGAAACTTTTTAGGGAAAAGGGAGGGAACCGAGCACTCGAACAGTTACGGTTCGTAGAAACGGACGGGCCGAAAATGGGGGCCTGTGGTTGGCACAGCTCGCTGGCAATGCACGAACTTGTGCGATGTTTACGCGACATTGCGCGAGAGAAACTTACGACACTCGCCTGATTGCGTAACCTGACACAATTTCGCGCGTATTAAAAACTGCAAAAAAGGTTTACCTTACAGCTCGAATAGTGAATGACTGTTTCGATAGACGGACAGTTCCATACCGGAGACATAACTGTCCGTGTATCGAACGTTCGTTATCAACACAACTTCAAGAAAAACCAAAATGGTTACGCACCCTAAACCACAAACCAGGTAACCACACAATCCAAGTGATAAACCTGCCTCCACACCCCCCAAAGTGCACCCTTAAAACCCGAGGTTAGCATGGTTTTTGCCAAAAATACTGAAGGAAGAACCTACAGCGTGTTCGCTGCCATTGTGAAAATGAGAATAGCGTAGTTATGGCTCTTTTGGTCCTGAATAGCGGAGTAGACTACGTGTATTGTGCGAGAATATGGGTGCCAATTACTATAGTACAACTTAGTTTTCAAGTTTACTGAATGTGAACAGTGCTCCTCCATCTCCCGATCACACTTCACTGCGGAAGCCTTGTTTTGTCGCTGGCCAATCATGCATCAGAGATGCAAAACCTCTCCTCTTCAACGCGACGGAATGCTTCACTTCAGGTGGTAACTTGGTTTTTGGCGAGTTCATATTCAAGAATGTTGAATTTGAAAACAGCCATGTGGAACTCGGGCTTTAACTGTTACCCTAGATGCTGTGTTTTTGATTTCGTGCATTGACGGATGTTTTTCTCCTTTTTTTCCAGGCGCCGGCAACCCCTGCCGAGAGCTGCGTCAGCCTTCCTCGGTTCTGGACTGTGCAACGGCCACAGCTCGGTTCCTGGCAGCGCGACCAAGTATGCTACGGTACCGGGCACAAGCGGACGCTACGTACGGAATGGGAGAAATAGGCGTTCCTCCTACACTTGTATGGACTGCATTTTTTTACATTTGGGTAGGGTTTCGAGAAATGGCGAATCCTTGTGACGCATGCTTACATAAAGCGCAGGAAAAAGAATGCGTTCTAGTTTCTTGGTTCTTTCAGCTTCTTGATTGTAGCTTTCTTGATTTTAGCTTTCTTGATTTTAGCTTCTTGGCACTTCTTTTCAACCACTTGTTCATTTCAAGTCGCGTATTCTCTCTTCCCTTAACAATCATGGCGCGAAACTCGACGCTAGTCCATCACAACCCGTGCATTGTGTTTTTCGTTCTGGTCGTCATGATGCTTCTCGCTTCCGCCGTTACGAGTAATCCCTTTCGTGCGGCCGCGGACGGCGGTCGTCCGCCCGTAGGGGCTGCTCCGCTGCGCCAGGTGGCTGCGTCCGCAACGCCGAGTCAGGCGCGCATCAAGCTCCAACCCTCGCAGCGTGAGAAGTCTGGATTCAGGACCACTGGATTTCATGCTCTGCCATTCGTGTTGCCGCACTTGCCGCTTCCATTTATGATCCGCGATACAACACAGGCACATAGAGACGCAATGCTATGAGAGAAGTTCTAGTCGCCAGCAGTTGGACGTTTGCCGTGCCATATTCATAATTCATCCCGTTCGCCCTGCCTTTCCGCCCGCCAACAACCTCTCCCTCCACCTGGCCCTTAGTGCAAGCGCTGCTGGCCCTGAACAGCGAATGGGGCGCCTGGTCTTGTGAATCGCTACTTCATTAGCTCTGTGGAGTGTAACGCTCACGGCATGGTGACCTCACTGTGAGCTTCGCCGCGTGTGCTCTGAAAGGAGAACAGTACAGGTGTAGGTAGGGAGGAAGGAAGGAGGAAGTGAGAACGGGGAGAGGGGGAAATAGAAGGTAAGAAACGGGTGTTTGGTCTGATAGATGATGAAGAGAGGCAGCACTGCAAGGGCGTTGAGTTGAAGTGGCCATGTTGTGGGACCGTTTTAGGTAGGTAATAGAGGGACCTTCCCTGCCTTGAAGTGAACTTGCATGTCGAAACATGCGATCTTGCATCCATGCCAGCGGCCAGCTACTTCTCAATCTTTCGCCAACCACAACTAGGTACCTTCTCTTCCTGCTGCGCTGTAGGTTCTTGACTTCAACCAATCATGATCAAGTATCTGGAAACGTGCCGTCAGCCATCACAGCCTTGACAGCTCTCCAAAAACTGTCAGTGCATACCAGTGTTGCTAGGGAGGAACCAGGAGGGGCGTAAGGGAGGTTGAAAAACCAGAGGTTGAGTGCTTGGAGCTGCACTGAAGTCTGAACCACCACTCAAACACGTGTGCTGGCAACAGCTTTTCCTGCAAATCACACTGCTGGAGGTTCCGTGTTTATCTCTAGCTACTTATTAGCTTAGTTACTCCACAAGCTACTTACGAGGTATTCTCCAATCCAGCGTTTGTGTATCTTGCAGGATCTCTGAGCTTATCTTGTGATTCGCCTCTCTTGTTCCCACCCTTCCCTTCCCACTCACATGGCTCACTGCAGGGAGTTGCCAAATTGCGGCCTCACTGGAAGCCTGGAGATTCTCGGCCACCTGCCCCACTTGCAATACGTGTACGTACCTCTGCTCTGCCATTTCGCCATCTCCTCACCTCTATAACCGTTCTGTTCCCTCTATTGCTCTGTTCTTCTGCTCCGCTCTATGCCTGCGTTACCGTGCGTGCTCTAAGTCATTCCGTTCCCTCCATGTTCTACCTATCTCTTACAACACGCCTAGTCAGCCCACCGCATCCAAACACGTGCGTGTCATTGCCATGGCCATGGCACATGGCTCATCACAGTGATCTCAGCTTCAGCGGCTTCAGTGGATCCATCCCTGACGCCATCGGCAATGCCACGGGGCTACAGCACCTGTAAGAGGGCTTTCCACTCCCATGTTTCAAATTCAAACCAGGCGCCATGGCTCTCGCTGTCCGTCACTTCACTTGCTGCCTCGGCTCGGCTCATTCACGCATCGAATTGCTTGCGGGGGCAGCTCAGATTACAATGACAAGTGGTGTTTTGTTCTGCAGATTGTACAGCGCCTTGATTGAGTCTTCCCACCTCACTGGTTTCAGGTTTCAAACGTTTGAGGTTCGGCCTCATCTGCTTGTGTGCAAATGCATATTGTCCACTGTTGGCACGAACTTTTGTGCACCCCTTGCCATCCGTCCCATCCCATGCCAGTGACCTGGCGGAAATTGCTGATCTCACTGGAAGCCTCCCATCCACCATCAGTCGCCTCACTGCGCTCACATACCTGTACTGTACCTCCCTTTTTCCAATCCTATGCTTGCCCCTTCGCCTTCCTTCCTCTCCGTCCTGAGCCTCCCCCTTCTCTTCCCCCGCCTTGCTGCCATGCGCATTGCTCACATCCCGTGTTGACATCTGCAGGTCCCGCCCACTGCTCCTCTTTCTTCCTCTCTTCCCTCAGCTGCTTGCATAAGCTTCCTTCCCTTATCGCCTCCCTTATCGCCTCCCTTACCAACCCTCTTCTCTGCCCCCCTCATGCAGGTCTATTGGAAAGAATCAGTACTTTGTCGATCCTGAATTTCCTGAGGACCCACCAAGGTGAGTCGGATCGGATGGCATGAATCGGATTGGGGGTCTGGCTGCCTGTTACTGCATGCTGTTTTTGAATGGCCATGCAGGTGTCACAAGAATGTGCCAATGTCACATGGTTACAGAAGCTACATAAGAGGCTACTGTGTGTGTGTGTGTGTGTGTGTGTGTGTGCTGCCAGTTGGTGAAAGCCGTGAGTTCCAGAAGCTGTTGTCATGTCCTTTCACCCCGTGCGTGTGCAAGCAAACGCAGTCCACAGTAAGAGAATCATGCTCCTCCTCCCTTTTCACTCTCTGCCTTGGCCGTTCCTCGCAGCATGCTCTCCGTCATGGCTACCATGAGCGCCCCTGTGCTGCAAGGCCCCATGGCCCACCTCTCCTGCCTCGCCCCGCTCACTCGCCTCCGCCACCTGTACGGCCCTCTCTCCCTCCCCCCTCCCTCTCATCCCTGCCCGCCTTCTCCCCTCTCTCACATCTCATCCCTGCCCGCCTTCTCCCCTCTCTCACATCTCATCCCTGCCCGCCTTCTCCCCTCTCTCACATCTCATCCCTGCCCGCCTTCTCCCCTCTCTCACATCTCATCCCTGCCCGCCTTCTCACCTCTCTCACATCTCATCCCTGCCCGCCTTCTCACCTCTCTCACATCTCATCCCTGCCCGCCTTCTCCTCCCCTCTCTCTCATCCCTGCCCGCCTTCTCCTCCCCTCTCACTCATGCCTCTCTGTCTGTCACACCCACTTCCCCTCAGCGCTCTCACGACTCTCAACCTCACGGCTGGAGAGCTGCCTTCCTCTCTCTCTGCCCTTACTTCACTCACAACCCTGTAAGCCCCTTTCGTTTTCTCGAAAGCATGCCGTTTTTATGATCTCATCCATGGTTTGTGCGTGGTGGATGGATAAGCAGCATTCCCCAACGCACAACCATTGTGTTGGTGTCATCAGTGACTTGCTCTTGGTTAGCTCTTGGGGAGGGGGTGTGTGCTTGTTCGTTGAATCATTGCGTCTCATTTATTTAGCAATACGACAAAATCAAGATCAGCGAAATTCTCTTTACCAAATAGGAGCAAACACGTGTCTCTTTCCCAAACAGAAATCGTGTGCTATCTCTATCACCACCACTAACAAGCCCCGAATATCAGCTGCCACCAGTAACAAGTCATACCCATGCTTGAACTGGCAGGGCAGTGTCAGGAGGGTCTTGCCTGTGCGATCACCCTCTCTCTCCCCTCTCTTCCTTTCACTCTGTCACAGTGACATAAAGTTCCTTTCCATCACCAGCACGCCGCAATGGATTGCATCGCTCCCCAACCTTTCCACAATGTGAGTGCGTGCCACCGCAAGCTCCTCACCTCACCTCACCCCACGCACCTCCGATCATCATCTCATCACCGCTTCCTATTGCACCTTGCCCGTGCTTCACTTGGGATACTGCAGGCCAGCGCACGTCCGCTCTCTGTAAGTTCCATCTCCTCTCCCTCCCTGCACCACCTGTGACTTGTCACTTGCTACAGTCTTGCCACGTGCGAACTAACTCTCTGCTTGCCTTGCTCACTGCCAGAGCCTTTTTTTTGTGTGCTTGCTATCACCTGTTCAGAGCTGCTCCCCGACCTAGTTCTTACCACCTTGATTGAAGAGCCTCTCTTGGCATCCCCCCTGCTGCTCTGTGCCATGCTGCTTTGGCCTATGCCACGCATGGACCATGGCAGGCCAGGGCTATGCACGATGGCTAGAGGGATCGAGTCGAGATGTATGTTGATGCCACTTGCACTGCTCCCCTGCCTGCCGTGCCTCTCAACCAATTGGAGCGTCCTGTGCCTCCCCCACCCTTCTGTGCTTGACCGCCCTGCAGGGATGTCACCGGCAACTCTAATGTCCACCGCTCTGCACCGTTTCCCACCGAGTGGATGTCGCTCACAGGGCTGGAGACTCTGTGAGTCATCCACCGCGCAAGAGCACACCGTTTTTGGATTGACACCGGGAGCTGCTAAGTACCAATTTGGTCTGTAATTCTTTTGAGTCGACTCAAAAGCTGCTAAGTACCAATTTGGTCTGGAATTCTCAAGCAGACTGTTCACAATCATCCATCCCTTCCATTCCCAACCAGCCAGCAGTGCTTTCTTCCACTATTCCGTTCTCCACACATTGTCAAGTGGCCCAATCTGCTCTGCCCACTTCCTTGCCCAACACCCACCCACTGGTGCGCCTTCCCCTCCTCTCGCCCCTCCCCTTGCACCTCCAGGCGGGCCGGTCTGAATGGCTTCACTGGCTCTATCCCCTCCACCATCTCCGCCCTCACCGCCCTCACCATCTTGTACGCCCCCCTTCCCCACCCACTCTGCTCTTGCTTGCCCCTCCTTCCTCGAGATCCCCCTTGGAGATGAAGGATTCGTGGAAAAGGGAAGACGAGAAAAAGCGAAGACAGGAAAAAGGGAAGACAGGAAACAGGGAATACAAGAAAAGGGGAAGAAACAGGGGGGACAAGAAAAAGGGAAGACAATAAAACGGGAAGACAAGGCCATAAGATACGCAAAAGGATGGGGTTGTTGTGAGGGCCAATGTGAAAAGAGTATTGCTCTCCTTTCACCAGATCTGCCTGTGAGGACTAACATGGAAATAATACCACCTGTAAAGGCTATCCATTCTGTGAGTGTGGTTTATCCTGTGAACGCAATTCATCCTGTGAGTGTGGTTTATCCGGTGCTCGTTTCTCACAACCTCTCCCACCTCCTTGCAATGGCCCCACCAGGGAGCTCGATTTGAACAACATCTCAGGGAGCATTCCTGATGGCATCCTCAACCTCTCTCGCCTGGAATACCTGTAAGGCCTTTACATCTTGCCCTGCCCTCTGGTAATTCACCACGTCCTAAAACCTGCAATGAACCCCGGCGCCTCGGTTTTCCTACACGCCCTCCCTTTTGGTATTGATTATTCCTCCGCTCTATTGCATGTGACTTGAATGAGCATGAGACCACGATTCAGCTTTCCATCCGTATCGGACGAATTGGTGTTCTGGAAAAGGCTTTTTATAAAACAGGTCTTTTTCCAGCCGTTCTGGAAAGGCTTGGTCGATAGTACGGACCGTTCGAAGCCAATCCCTGCTCTGGACGGAACCTCTTCCTCAAACGGAATGACTCCAATGTACAGAGTCACTTCATTGTACTGTCCATAACACACACACATGCTTCCATTGGCCTCTCTCTGTACGTGTGCGTGCCTCCACAAACCCCAGGGGCCTCTCGTCCAACAATCTCACTGGTGCCGTTCCTGCCACTCGTGCACCCCTGCAAACCTTGTGAGTCTTCAAGGCCTGCCTCGCCTCGCAAAGTGACGCTTTGCATGCCAAGTCTCGACCGAACAGAATCAGATGGGGGGTCTTCTGTGAACATTCCTACATATGGATTTTCCTCTAGTGGCAAGTTTTTGCTGACATCCCTTCAGATGCTCCTGCTGCTTCGGTTTGGGTTTTGGTTAGGCGGTAAACCATTCTGTTCCGTTGTTTTTTCTGATAGCTTAAGCTGGGCGCGAATCGTATTATCGCCTCGCTTTAGCACGTTCTGGAAAAGTCCTTTCCATGCATTCTTTGCAAACACCACCCGCCCTGTCATGATGCCTCATGCACCTTTTTCTTCATAGCCCTGCCTCGTGTTCCGCCAATTGGAGCTCTTCCAAACCGCAAACCCCACTGGCATGTGGCACTGAGGCATTCTCAATTCTCACTCCTATCTCAGCTGCCCTGTACAAAGATTCTCCTCCTCCCCTCCACATCCCCTCCCCTCCACATCCCCTCCCCTCCACATCCCCTCCCCTCCACGTCCCCTCCCTCCGCCTGCCCCCACTGCATGCAGAGACCTCTCCCACAATCACCTCACCAACATGCCTACTGCAATTTCACCTGCCCTTGCATCCCTGTGAGTCCTGTATGGATTGAGCTCTCATGAACGCGAGCGAGAGAGTGGGAGGGAGTTGGGGGGAAAGCGTTGGAGTAAGAAAGGAGGGAAGGGGCCGCACAGAGATTTACTCGCTCGCTAGTATAACGCTTCCTATCCCCATTCACCGCCCGCCAAACACTGGTGAGATTGCCTCAGTTCAATGATATCACCTTCACTGGCCCCATCTGCTCCCAAGGACCCCACACCCTCAACGCCACCAGACGTGACTCAAATGATTCGATTCACTTGCTTGAGTCAGCTGCTCGATTCGGTTTCATGTGTCTTGAGTCATTTATAACTCACATGGGCTCAATTCTAGTCATGATTGGGGTCTGACTCTTCTTGCCTCAACACACGCTCATGTCTTCCTTGTGTTCCATCATGTTGTGCCTTACATCACGTGATATGGCATGCTACCGTTCGCATGCTGATGTCGAAATGCATCTATCTTTAACAACCTGAACTTCTGATTGTGTTCAGCAATCTGAGCTACAACGACCTGCAGGGATCCTTGCCTGCCAATAACATCCAATCACTGTGAGTTGTGCCACCACCTCCAAGTCTGCCTTGATATGTCTGCAAGTGAAGGGTCCGTTTCCTGCCTTGACATGTCTGCTTCGACAGGCGCCAGTGTTCGCCAAGCACCCCTCCCTCACACATATCACCGTCACGTTTTGGCTGCTTGGCAGAGCACAAAGCTGCCATGCCATGCCATGCCATGCCATGCCATGCCATGCCATGCCATGCCATGCCATGCCATGCCATTCCATGCCATGCCATGCCATGCCATGCCATGCCATGCCATGCGATGCCATGCGATGCCATGCCATGCCACGCCACGCCACGTCATGCCATGCCATACCATGCCATGCCATGCCACGCCACGCCACGCCACGCCACGCCATGCCATGCCATGCCATGCCACGCCACGCCACGCCACGCCACGCCACGCCATGCCACGCCACGCCATGCCATGCCATGCCATGCCATGCCATGCCATGCCATGCCAGCACTCAGACCGAGAGTGGTCTGTGAGGGGATTCCACGTGGTGCTTCCATCCGAGGCGCCAATCCCCTTGGAGACGCTGGGACACTGGCGGTGGGTGCTGCGGAGTGTCAGCACCTGCAGCTGGTCCTTTACTGAGCTGCTGCGGACCCTCCCTCATGTCCGCATCGCAATATGCTGCTCAATGTCTCTATAGTTTTTTCTAACTACATTCCCTCTCTCTCGCACACCTATTTCCTCTCACTGTCTATGTTTGGCTCACACTTGCCCACACCCATTACAAGTGCAAAAACATGTGCGGAGCAGCCAACGGGTTGCAGTAACAACCTCGACCAGGCCCGTCCTGCCCTCATTCCATCCATCCATCCACTGTATGCCTTGTTCTCTCAACCCCCACCCTCATCACCAGTGCGCGTGTGCCTTGCTAACCATCTCCCATACCCTCCACAGAGACCTCAGCCACAATCCTCTGACTGAAGGCTTGGATACGCTTATCAAGAAGTCCCCATCTCTTGTATCACTGTAAGGAGGGACAGAATCTTTTGATGTTGTGTGTTATGTAGATTGAAGTTGTTTCCATATGTTATCTGTATATATTTATAAAAATATATATATATATATATGAAACATTGTAGTCTTGTTATCATGTCAAGGCTCTCTCCCTTTCCCGTCATTTGCCTCATCGCGAAAGATCTTCTTCTCTCTTGAACCTTCTAGCCACCTCTCACTACCTCCGTTACCCACTTTCCCACTCGTCTTCGCATTCACCGCTCCTTAGGTATGTCGGATCATGCAACTTCTCAGGCCCTTTCCAGTCCTATCCCGGCAGAGTGCTCCGAGTTCTGTACGTTTCTCATGGACTTTTGAGAATTCTCAAAGGGACTGTTAACTGCTCTATATTGTCAAACGGTTCATCAGTCTCAGCAGGAGTTGTTTAAGGCTCCATGGTTTGAAACATCAACGTATGAACTAGTGTTCTCTTTTCCATGTATTTTTGTTGCATTGCATCACCTGATTTAAGAGCCATCAGTAGACCAGGTTATTATGAAGGTTCTCTCATTTGTATGATGAGCCTAGGAACACTAGTCACTTCTGAAATCTGTGAAGCAGAGTCTGGTCTGTTGAAGTGGTTTATGAATCCACAACTTTCTTGTGTGGCTTGCTCAGTCATATCCTGTTATTTCTACTTTCTCTGCCCTCGTCACCGATCGCTTCATTCCTTCCTCCCTGCTATCCTCCCACCAATCGCTCCTCACCTTCTCCAAGCTTCGTTGTCCACTTTCCCTAACTGCCCTGCCTCCTCCACAGTGACGTGTCTAACAACAGCTTCTCTGGACCCTTTCCCTCCGTTCTCTTGAACAAGGGCAGTGAAACTTCATACATGTAATACGTTCGTGATCTGATCATGTACCATGGTCGTCTTCTTTCCCTATGATGCATCTGTGCCTCCATATTGCAATGCCATGTTTACTTTTGCATCCACTCCACTCTCTTCATTGCATACAAGTCACACCCTTCATTGCGTGCAGCAACCTCTCACACAACAACTTCACGAGACCTCTTCCACCAAAATTACCTGGCACACTATCTTTCACATATGACTTCCAAACATTGTAAGTTGGTCTATCCACATCCTTTGTTGATGCAACTGACTTGGTGCTTCATTGTTCCGGAGCCAATGTCCTATCCTTTGCTAACAGCTGTACCACTCGTCCTATCCACTCCAATCCTGTTCGCCTGTCCGACAGCGACATTTCCCACAACCGCTTCTTTGGCGTTGTTCCTCGCGGCATTTGGTGTCTGTGTTGCCTCACGTCCCTGTGAGTGCCTCACGTCCCTGTGAGTGAATGAATTAACGCTGTGCCTTGGAGAAATGGTGTCTTACTAGCTTGCTGCAAAATGCTAGGGAGCATACATGGGCAAAGTGAGAGAAGCAAACAGAGCTAGAAAGGAAAAGTGGATATTTGTTGGGACCAGCAAACGTGTTTGAGTGGGCCCACCGTTGGTTATGAGTGTTTTTGGAGTGGCCATGTCACAAAGTCTGATCTGAGGTGTTTGTGTCCGTTTCATGTGGTGCCAGGTTGTGCTGTACTTTTCAAGCTGCCCTTTTTGCCACTGTGCAAGTAGATTGGTGTGCAAACACCTGTCCATGGGAGGGATGGTGCATGCAGAAGAAGTGGATAATTATGGGGTCCACGTGTGCATTCGACATGCTATGGTTCCCCTCAAAGGCTCACTCACTGTAGCACGTTCCGTCCGATGCATGATACCATCTTTTCCTTTCTTCCAACCACACCCATGCCATCTTTGTTCCAGCTCCATGGCTCACAACCAGCTGCATGGGTCTCTTCCTGCTGCCCCCTTATCCCTTCAGCTCCGTGCTCTGTGAGTGTGCCTTGATGAAAGTGTCTCGTGGAACAGCAAAGGTGCATGTGCTAAACGAGGTGTCGCTTTGTTGCTTTTTTTATTCTAGTCAAAATTAGAGCAGCGCTGTTGTCTACATATGCAACCGTGACCATTCCGTGTTTTAGACGTTGCTAAGCTAATCACCCCCCCATCCCTATCTCCGTGGAACCCATGCCTTGTTGCAGTGAGCTGCAAGGCAATGCCTTCTCTGGCCCTCTCCCCAACTTCGCTTCATGGGAAACCCAGTCACTGCATGTGCTGTGAGATTAGCACCTTGCCTCTTTTCTTCCTCGCCTCTTGTTCCTTTTGTGCGCTTCACGTACCTCTTGCTTTCATCACATGTAATTATTGCACTCATTTCAATAAGACACATTGTAACTACCGAACAAATGCCTGCAGTCCGCATGTAACCTTCATCCCTTCGTCTCCTCCCCCGCCCACCATCTCCCCTCCTCCATCCTACCTCAACCACCCACTCACCACCACCATGCCCCACCCCACTCAATCCCCAGCGATGTGAGCGACAACCAGCTCAGTGGCTCCCTCCCTGACTCCATCACCCGCTTTGCAACACTGCAGCACCTGTGAGCCGCATGCAGCCCCCGTGAGCACAAGGCAGGCGTGCTGTTGTGAAGCAGGTGACAAGGCTCGAGTGGTGTGCCTTGAGAAGGGGCATTACCTTTCCTTGAAGCATGGGTGCTTCGAAATGAAAAAAAAATCACTCCATGCACTGGCCAAACAAAGGCAGCATTGTGAAACTGACTGCTGCTGCGAAGTGGTTTGCGAATGCATGCTACATTGTGGCTACATTGTTTCACAACCATCACTGCAACATGCTGATGCACCCTCTTTATTGGCATGCACATGGTGGCACGGCTGGTGGCATGGCATGCACATGGTGGCATGGCATGCACATGGTGGCATGGCATGCACATGGTGGCATGGCATGCACATGGTGGCATGGCTGGTGGCATGGCATGCACATGGTGGCATGGCTGGTGGCATGGCATGCACATGGTGGCATGGCTGGTGGCATGGCATGCACATGGTGGCATGGCTGGTGGTGGCATGGCATGCACATGGTGGCATGGTACACTATCACATGGCAGGGGCCTTGGAGGCAACAACTTGAGTGGCCCCATACCTGCTAGTCTGGGCAGCCTTGTCAATCTGACATCCCTGTGAGTAGCACAACATATCCCCGTTTACCACAGCCTGAACGCCATAGCTCTCCTTGCACATTGCTTACAACTGCCATCTTTCTACCTCCCAGCCTTACTGGGACATCCTGCTAGCATCATCCAGTTTGTAACTGTGAGTTGCTTCAAATACACCTTGCAAAAGGTGACTTTTGGATCAATGGCACATTTGTGGTTTCTTGCATTCGTCAGTCACACACGCTGTATCCTCCTCGTCTGACCTGGGGTTCCTTCCTGCAACCTCAATCACCTAAGCCTTTCGTTGTGTCTTTCTTGTACAGTTTTAGCCCTACTGCTGCAACGGTCATCGATCTCTGCAGCGAGCCAGTTCCACTAAAGAAACCTAGGCATACGAGCTGCACAAGCCCCAAGATAGCATTCGCAGAGGGCATGTTCTGTAGAGTGTCCTTCCATGAATGTGCAAGTGTGCAGAACTTTCCTGCGAATTCAATTCTACAGTACCGCCTTGAATTGAAGGGGTGTGTGGGGAAGGGTGTGGGTTTCAGGGGTGGTAACTGGAACTTTAGGTGCCAATGAAGCTCAGCTAGGTAAAATGTTTGACCTTTTTTTTTTTTGCCCCCTTCCATGGTAATCGAGTAATAATTTACCTTGTGCAAACGTTCACATGGAGGATATTCTACATAAGTAACTGGTGAGCCAGAGCAAGAAAAGCCTGAATCCTGAAATGCGCATATTTGGGTTGTGTGCCCTCCCTTCTCCCTCCCTTGTCTTCCCCCCCGCGCCCCCAGGAACGTGTCAGGCTCAGCACTGACCTGTCCTCCAGACGGCAGCAAGTGCCTGGCGAAGCAGAGCAACACCACCTGCTTCTGCCGCCTCTGCTTCTCCTTCTGCTCCTCCTGCACGCCCCATGCATGTGAGTCTCTATGCCTCCTAGTCTGTGTACATTTGAACACCGGCTCTATGAGCTCAATGCCACCTGGCTCCAAAGGATCTTGTGCAAACACCAGATGGCTAGATACTAGAAAGGTATGCTGCGAACGAGATGCTATGATCTTGGCAATCCGTCAAATCCCGATCTGCACCTACATTTCAGTGTCTGCCCCCACAAAAGCACCAGCTTCAGCTGCAGCACCACCATCAGTTGCAGCACCAGCATCGGTTGCACCACCAGCATCGGTCGCACCACCATCGGTCGCACCACCAACATCGGTTGGAGCACCAACTTCAGCTGCCGCGCCAGCACCTAAAGCACCATCGGCATCTGGCCGTTGCATGCTTGTTGCTGCAGCCATCATACTCTCTAGTGCTGCTCCTATGGCCACCCTCTCAATACTGATATTCGGAATGTAATGTGGGTTTACTCATTTGTTTCGTATAGGTAGTTAGGGGTGCATGTCTTTTGGGTAATTAGTCTTTTATTATCTAATCCTGATTAGCATGACTGGCTTTCTGTACGACAGTACGTGTTTTGTACTCGAGTTTTGAAGTGTGGTCCAGTGTTTCGGACATGTTGATGAAGAAATCAACTCTGCATTTGGATTTGTAAATTGTAATCATTTATCAAATTATCATGTTTTGTTGTCTACCATATTTACCTGGATAGAAGTCTCAAAATGATACGGTAGGTTATGTTGGAGTTGTAGAGCTAAGGAAGAAGGTTACAAGAATAGAAAAGAACATATACTAGAAGAGGAAGTAGAAGTTATATACAAGCAAAGGCAAGATTTAGGAAAGGTGCATACCAACAAGAACTACATGTAATAACCAATTGGCGGTTCTAAAAATATATAACTATGATTCATATTCATATACATATTCATAAACATATATACACATATACATACATATTTGTATACATATACAGACACAAGTACATGTACATGTACATATATGCTACGAATAGTAACGAGTGAAACACTACAGTGCACCCCTAACCGCAGCAAAGGGAAGCATGCAATATCGAGATTGAATGCGAAGAGTCAGAGTTGACTCGAAACGTCAGATGGTTAGGATGGATCTGGACCGTCGGAGCAGACGGCATCGGGCAGCTGCAGGCAAGAGGGATTTGGCGGGAACAGTTTCGTAACTGTACGCGCCGCACGGTTGGGGATGAATTTGAATAAAGGAATGTACCCCTTAGAGTACATGGCTAGCTAGGTCGATTCGAATTCCCCTGTACTCGTATTTATATCTTTGTATTGCACGTTTTCATTATCTCAAGCATTTTACATTCACTATGCTATTGAGGTCAAGGGCCCACCACCAACCACCTAGCTGTGTGCGAACCTTCCTGAGGAGATCCTAGGAGCGACCACCTTCTGATCGCAGCATGGTATGAGAGCGACTCGGGAATCTTTCGCACTGCCACCTCCGAAATCCTCAACATTCGGAAAGTGGCGTCAAACACACGATCGCGCGTGAGAATGGACGGAGGATCCGGTGGTCAGACAAATCTGACGGCTGAAGCGCAACCCAATCTGGCTGCGACAAGCGAGGAAACGACGACGATCGGGACCGAAGTTCTCGCACAACTTCTTCAGCGACCCACCGGCTTGGAGCAAGGGCTCCAAACATTGCGGAACGGCTGCGCGGGAACCTCCTCGCAACCTTCTCAACCGGCCCCAAATGGCCAGAACGCCGCCCCGCACACTTTCTCTCCCTCGACACAAATGGTTCAACCCCCAAGACTCCCCGTCCCAGTGAAGAGGCAATTCTCTCTCTGCAATCAAGGTTTTTCAGCATATAAAAAATATAGACAAGCGTGTGTTTTGACGGCAGAGACTTCTATACCCGGAGCTTGGAGCTGGAGCTCCTGCTGCAGAACGCTCAGATTTTTCACTACTTCGACGGGAGTTACGCGGAGCCTGCTGAAGACACCGACGACGCCAGGGCAAGATACTACAACGAGTCCCTGATGGCGTACGGTGTCCTCCTGCGCAATATGTCGCCGGCGGAGCAGTTGAGCATTCGCTCTTACAAAACGTTGCCTGCTCTAGCCCTCGACGCCTGGCGCCACTAAACGGCGTGTACCAGCTAAAGGACTCCGTTTCTTCGAGCCGACTGCTCCAGCAGCTACTGGAGACAAAAATGGCCCCAGGGGAGAAGGCCAATAGCTACATCAATCGCTGCCGGAGCCTTCGCGATCAAATCGCGAAGTTGGGAAGTTCGATGTCAGAAGAAATCTTCGTCAATATCGTGCTTCAAGGGCTCGGCCCAGAGTGGCAGCCCTGCAAGGCGCTTCTCCGACAGCAGGGGGTCATCTCGGAGGCCGCCCTCTGCGCCGCCCTTCTCGTCGAACGACGGGATATGGATCAGCAGCGACCAGCGCCATGACGAGAACGCGAACGGCTCGCCTTCTACGCCGACAACACCGAAGAGCGAAGGCCGCAGCGCCTCTTCTGCAAGATTTGCAGAAACTTCGGGCATTTGGGGGATCGATGCAAGTCCCGATCTCGCCCTCGCCAGACCAATCCGAGCATTTGGTCCGGCCGACAAGACGCACGTGGCGACATGCGTCCAGCCCAGGGGTATCAACCCCCCGCGCGCAATCTGAACCCAACGGTTCAGCATCAGCAGCAGCAGCCATCATCGTCTGCCCCAGTACGCAACGTCATGAGCAACATGGCCATGACGGGCGAGTCGCGTCGTCGCCGGGTGCGCTCACCATTGTTGTTCAGGATCCGTCACTTTGAGAGCTTACGACAAACTCATTTATAAACTAAATGCAAATCCGCTCAGTAGGAAGTTGTGCCTTAGGCTTAGCTAGGTAAGTCCTAGCTAGGCAAGAGAAGTTTAGGCAAAAGAGAGGGGGTTGCACTAGCAAGAATGAGGATACAAATAGCAAACCCTAGAAGGGTTGTACTCGCTATAGAGCACCCCACTACAGGCTAGAGCATAATATTCTGACACACCCCCATAGCCAAAGTGGGGTGTAATCAGCAGAGCAAGCAAAGCAGTACAAGCTCAGGGTGGATCACAATGTCACCACACATTCTGAGCACAAGTTCAAGAAGCAATAGTTTAAAGTTCACAATTATGAGCAAAGCTAGTGGTAGTCACAACGGGCAAGTGAGGAGGAGGAAAGAGACTATGAGAGGAGAGGAGGTAGTGGGCGGCAGCTGAAGCTGCTGGCACACGGCGCAACTGGAGCAACTGGCACACGGGCAACTGGAGCAACTGGCACACTGGCAACTGGAGCAACTGGCACACGGGCTACTGGAGTAACTGGCTCTGCGGCTAAAAGTAGCGGCAGACGAGCAACGGACTCACGGGCGACTGGAGCAACGGGCTCACGGGCGGCTGGCGCAACGGGCTCACGGGCGACTGGCGCAACGGTCTCACGGGCGACTAGAGCTGCTGGCTTCACGGCGGCCACCCCCTTCAACCTCCCCAAACTATCCCACTCCCCCTGACACACACCCGCTGCTACACCGCTAGCTCCACTCCCCCTTCACCCCCCCTTAGTACCACTCCAACGGCTCCAACAAGTCCACCCCCCCTCAGCGGCAGCTGCAGCACAGGGAGACGGAGGAGGAGGAGGAGCAGGGAACGGCACACAGTAGCTTCACCTCCATACCCCTCACCCCCAAACCCTAATTCAGGAGAACGGGCTGTAGGAGGGGTGGGGCGCCAGTAGAAGCACGGGGGACAGCGGGGAGGGCAGGGGCAGCGAGGAAAGGGCCGCCCACGGGCCTGGCACAGCCGCCCGAACCGCGCGCAGGCGGCCCGAGCCGCGCGCGGGCCTGGCGCAGCCCGTACGGGCCGCGCGCTGGCCTGGCGCAGCCCGTACGGGCCGCGTCCGGGCCTGGCGCAGCCCTTACGGGCCGCGCGCAGCCTGTACGGGCCGCGCGCAGGCCACGACGGGCGACGGGGGGCGACGCGCGGGTCCCCGTCGCCCGTCGCAGCGCCTCCCGAGGGCGACGCGCCGAGTGACGGGGCAGAAGCCCGCCGCGCGCCTCGGGGCGCACAGCGGGCAGAGAACCGCCGCGCGCCACGGGGCGCACCGCGGGCAGAAAACCGCC